AATACAATTCTATTTACTCGAAAAAAAATTAATTAGTAAAAAAAAATAATAATTATACATATCCCGACCTTTGTTCCTTATTTTCAGATTTTTAAATTTGAATCTTTTATTAACCTCTTGATTCAGTGGAATCAGGTATGAGTGTTTTGTTATTAGAAAAAACTTCTGTTTTATTCCATGTAAATCTCATTTATAACTACTAAATCACTCTTTTGTTGTCATCTTTTTTTTTATAATAATTGATGTTGATCATGTAATCTAATCGTTTTTTTAACCTTTATTCAGTTTAATTCAAATCTTTATGTTTTTTGAAAAAAAAACGGGATATTCATTGTTATTAAAACAAATGACTGTTTTATTCCATGAAATGACTGTTAAAAAAACGGGATATTCATTGATTTATAACTACTAAATCACTCTTTGTCGTTATCTTTGTTTTTTAAATCTTTAATCAGTTTAATTCAAAAACTTTACATTTTTTAAAGAATACAATTCTATTTACTCGAAAAAAAATTAATTAGTAAAAAAAATATAATTATACATATCCCGACCTTTGTTCCTTATTTTCAGATTTTTAAATTTGAATCTTTTATTAACCTCTTGATTCAGTGGAATCAGGTATGAGTGTTTTGTTATTAGAAAAAACTTCTGTTTTATTCCATGAAAATCTCATTTATAACTACTAAATCACTCTTTTGTCGTCATCTTTGTTTTTTAAATAATTGATGTTGATCATGTAATCTAATCGTTTTTTTTAACCTTTATTCAGTTTAATTCAAATCTTTACGTTTTTTGAAAAAAAAAACGGGATATTCATTGTTATTAAAACAAATGACTGTTTTATTCCATGAAATGACTGTTAAAAAAACGGGATATTCATTGATTTATAACTACTAAATCACTCTTTGTCGTTATCTTTGTTTTTTAAATCTTTATTCAGTTTAATTCAAAAACTTCACATTTTTTAAAGAATACAATTCTATTTACTCGAAAAAAAATTAATTAGTAAAAAAAAATAATTATACATATCCCGACCTTTGTTCCTTATTTTCAGATTTTTAAATTTGAATCTTTTATTAACCTCTTGATTCAGTGGAATCAGGTATGAGTGTTTTGTTATTAGAAAAAACTTCTGTTTTATTCCATGAAAATCTCATTTATAACTACTAAATCACTCTTTTGTCGTCATCTTTGTTTTTATAATAATTGATGTTGATCATGTAATCTAATCGTTTTTTTTAACCTTTATTCAGTTTAATTCAAATCTTTACGTTTTTTGAAAAAAAAACGGGATATTCATTGTTATTAAAACAAATGACTGTTTTATTCCATGAAATGACTGTTAAAAAAACGGGATATTCATTGATTTATAACTACTAAATCACTCTTTGTCGTTATCTTTGTTTTTTAAATCTTTATTTAGTTTAATTCAAAAACTTCACATTTTTTAAAGAATACAATTCTATTTACTCGAAAAAAATTAATTAGTAAAAAAAATAATAATTATACATATCCCGACCTTTGTTCCTTATTTTCAGATTTTTAAATTTGAATCTTTTATTCACCTCTTGATTCAGTGGAATCAGGTATGAGTGTTTTATTCCATGAAAATCTCATTTATAACTACTTTATCACTCTTTTGTCGTCATCTTTGTTTTTATAATAATTGATGTTGATCATGTAATCTAATCGTTTTTTTATCCTTTATTCAGTTTAATTATTTTTATCCTTTGTACTAAAAATAATCTCCATTGTGTTTTGCTTTCCTACAAAATTGGCACAATTTTGTTGAGAAATTATTAACTTAAATGTTCACCAATTTATTTATTTATGATAGGTATGTCTCCGCATGTGAAGCAGCTTGGAGAATATTTGGATTTGACATTCATTCGAGATATCCCCTGTTCAGAGATTGCCATTTCACTTGCCTAATGAAAAGAACATTATTTTCAGTGATAATGATTCGTTGTATGATGTAAAGACAAGGGCGGAGTCTAGACTGTCAATTTTTTAGTCTTGGATGGATGCAAATAAAAATTATCCAGAAGGTAGGCATCTAACTTATGGAGAGTACCCGACTGAATTTGTTTTCAAAGAAAAACGCATGAATGGAATCCGAGAAAAAAAGGATTTTCCATTGGAAGGATAAATCGTTTTTCTGCCAATAATGGAGAAGATTCATATCTTCGCACGTTGCTTAATTTTCAAAAAGGTTGCACCAGTTATGAAGATCTTAGAACGATCAATGGCGTGGTTTTTCCTACATTTAAGGATGCGTGCTATTCTTTAGGACTTCTGGATGATGACAATGAGTACATTGATGCAATTAAGGAGGCAATTTCCTGGGGATCTGCTGCTTATCTTAGATGTCTGTTTGCTCTGTTGCTATTTGCCAACTCAATGAACAGACCTGAAAAAGTTTGGGAAGAGTGTTGAAATTTTTATCCGACGACGTTGTTTATCGGCATAGGAAAAGAATAGGACGTCAAGGTACGTGTTAAAATAATATTTCATACAATTTTTTTTGTTTAACTGAAATCAGCATATGCTGCCTTAGTACTTATTAGCTTTTTTGCTCGTATTCAGCAAATGTTGCTTTAGTGCTTATTTTGTTTTTTTTTTTTGCCCGCATTCAGTAAATGATGATTTAGTACTTATTTCGCTCTCTTTTCTTTCTTTGATTACTTTATCTTTGTTAATTTTTTAATTTTTTTTCCTTTGAATTTTATGCTTTGTCAGATGCAATTCTTACAGAAGAGTCTATAAAAAACATAACTCTTGAAGAAATTGATAAGGTACTGCAGAGCAATGGGAAATGCCTCTCTGATTATCCGTCAATGCCACACATCAATAGTGAAACTTTGCTTGATATGCAAAATCGGTTAGTGTTGGATGAATTAATGTATGACAGATTTGCTTTGGAAGAGGAGCATAAAAGACTAATTAATTCCCTCACTGATGAGCAGAAAACTGTTTATGATAAAATTGTTTCAGCAGTTACGGCAGGTAATGGAGGGTTATTTTTCCTATACGGGTTCGGTGGTACAGGAAAAACATTTATTTGGAATACTCTTTCAGCATCTATTAGATCAAAAGCTAGAATCGTACTTAATGTTGCTTCTAGCGGAATTGCTTCCCTTCTGCTTCCTGGAGGACGAACAACGCATTCTAGATTTCGTATTCCTATTCAAATCAATGAAGATTCAACGTGTAATATAAGGCCGAAATCTACTATAGCTGAGTTGCTGTAAAAAACAAAGTTAATCATTTGGGATGAAGCTCCAATGGTACATAGATTTTGCTTTGAGGCTCTGGATAGGACACTGAGAGATGTTCTTAGAATTTCTGATACAAGCTGTGTTGATATGCCATTTGGTGGAAAAGTTGTTGTTCTAGGAGGTGACTTTCGGCAAATATTACATGTCATTCCTCATGGCAGCAGACAAGATATAGTTCATGCAACCATCAATTCTTCTCATCTATGGTCCCATTGTCATTTATTAACTTTGACCAAGAACATGCGTCTTAATTCTGGAAGTAGCGCTCATAATTTAGAGGAAATAAAAGAATTTTCTGAGTGGCTACTTAAAGTTGGGGATGGTAATCTTGGAGATGATGTTGATGGAGAATCTATTATAACAATTCCAGATGAATTGTTGATTAGAGAATCGGAAGATCCGCTGTCGGATATGGTTAATTTTGTTTATCCGAATCTCTTGGATAATATTTTGGATTAGACCTTCTTTAAAGAACGTGCTATTCTAACTCCTAAATTGTTTGATGTTGCTATGCTAAACGAGCACCTAATGTCTATGATTCCTGGTGAAGAAAGGACTTTTTTGAGTTCGGATAAAATTCTTAAGCAAGGTGAGACTTCCTCTGTTGAGGATGATGAAATCACCCCTGAGATCTTAAATACATTATCATGCTCAGGTATTCCTGATAATAAATTAATCTTGAAAGTTAAAGTTCCAGTAATGCTATTAAGAAATATTGATCAGTCGAGAGGTTTATGCAATGACACGAGATTGCTTATTACAAAATTAGGGAATCATGTTGTTGAGGCAATTGTACTTACAGGAAGCAATATAGGGGAAACTGTGTTAATCCCTAGAATGACGATGAGCCCATCGAGTCATACATTTCCTGTAAATTTTCAAAGAAGACAATTCCCCCTGATTGTATCGTTTGCCATGACTATCAACAAGAGTCAAGGACAATCACTTTCACATGTTGCAATTTATCTCCCTAAGCCTGTCTTCACTCATGGGCAATTATATGTGGCACTGTCTAGAGTAAAGAGTAAGCATGGATTGAAGATATTGATACTTGATGAAAATGGCTGCATTACGAATAGTACCCTTAATATAATTTACAAGGAAGTATTTCAAAGACTGCTATAGTATATTGAGTTCTTTCTTCAAAGATATAACTTCGTTGTATGGTATAGGTAAAGACAAAAAAAATGACTGTTTTATTCGCGTCTCTTTTCCTTATCTATCTTCAAAGATATGACCTTTATTATCCTATTTTCTTTTCTATTTTTAATGTAATAATGAATGACTGTTTTGTTATTAAAAAAATAACTGTTTGGGACCTTTGAAATACTGACAAAACGAGTTCGACCCGAAGGGCCAACCCACCATGCCAAACAAACCAATTTTTTTTCCCGCATCGGCACGGGTAATTCACTAGTTATATTATAACTTAGAGATCATGCTTTAAATTTCGTAGACGAAATAAATCTCAGCCAAATCAAAGGAAACATACTGTAGGTCCCTAATCCATTTTCAGCCCCCTATTTGTGGCACCAATTGCACTAGAATATTAGAATTTAAGACTGAACAAACAATTCAAAATAGAGCCGTTGATGAGATAAACGGAGTGTGGAGATTAATCCTATTTGAATCAACGGCGGATATTAGTTCGAGTCCCTCTGGGAGTGTGGTACAGCGAATATAAAAAAAGTTTATTGTAGAAACAAATTTTTTTAACTCTGGCGTCTCTGCTTTTTCCCACTCTCTGCTAGGGTTTCAGAGTAGCCGCGCTTCTTCGAGTTTTCTCTTGCTTCAACTCTCTCCACTCACTCGTCTCACCATCTCCGATTCCATTTGTTAACTTGCTGTGAGTTCCCCCTTCATTGATTATTGATTTTCTCTACTAATCTATAATTACAAGTTTTGCTTTGGTATTTCGTTACTCGTTCCGCTGCTGATCCGAGGTAGTCATCCAGGGTTTTTCGTTCTTAGTTTCTTCGACTAATTTGGTTTTTCCATTTAACTTTCGTTTTACAGTATTGTTCGTTTGTATCTTATTTGAATCGGTTTCATTTAAATCGGGAGTGTTTAGAATTAGTGATGCACTGCTTGTTTGGTCACGAAAATAACCCCTGGCATTTTTTATTTTTCGATCTTGTTGGAACCCCGCAAACAGTCATGAAGTGTACTGGAACGTACTTTTTGAAGAATGTGGTGCACTCTATTTTGATTATTCGGGATGTATTTGTTGCATTTCAATGGTTCACCCTCTTTCGTACCACATAGTATTGCACACTTATAGGTTATGTTCTCTTTATGTGGCGACATGGGGTTTATGAGAGGGTTTGGTCAAATTCTCATCAATAGTAACACTGATTGTATCGATACTGTTTATGGAATGGTTATGTCATTGTCTAGAGATAATGGGAACTTTCATTTTAAGAGACAGATTTGTCTGTTTTTTGGGTCTTAGGTGTGGCCCATACATGATACATCATGCATTATTTGCAATGTATCTATCTTGCTGAACCTCGTCTATTTTAATTTGTCGCGCACATAATCACTTGGTTCTTTGTTGTTAATTTTGTACTTGTTTAAAAATCTTTGGTATTTTTTTCCGTGCGCTGGTGTTTAAAAATCTTTGGTATTTTAAAAATTTTGTACACCCTAGAGTTTTGATATAATAATAAGTAGATGAATTCAGGACTCGGACTTCCTCTTTTTGGGTCATTTAATTTTATAATTGTTATGTAGTTAAGTTCTATTTCATCCATTATGTTTGTAGCAACTTTATTACAAATCTGACAAATTATAGTTGCTAGTTTGTTTTGGTGGATCATTTTTCATGCCCTTTATTTATATGATTAGATTTTTATTTTCCAGGTTAAGATGGCCATGGAGGTTACTCAAATTCTTTTAAATGCGCAAGCAATGGATGGCGCTGTAAGGAATCAAGCTGAAGAAAACTTGAAACAGTTTCAGGAACAGAATTTTCCAAGTTTCTTGTTTTCTCTTGCTGGGGAATTGGCAAATGATGAAAAGCCTACAGAGAGCCGGACACTAGCAGGTATAATTCTCAAGAATGCTCTGGATGCAAAAGAACAACACAGAAAGATAGAATTTGTTCAAAGATGGCTGTCACTGGACCCAACTTTGAAAGCCCAGATCAAAGCATTCTTGTTGAGGACCCTTTCATCTCCTTCTTCTGATGCTCGATCAACTGCATCACAAGTTATTGCAAAAGTTGCTGGTATTGAATTGCCTCACAAGCAATGGCCTGAATTGATAGGATCCCTCTTGTCAAATGTTCATCAGCTTCCTGGTCCTACAAGGCAGGCAACTCTTGAGACCCTTGGGTACATTTGTGAAGAAGTCTCCCCTGATGTGGTTGAACAGGATCATGTAAATAAGATACTCACTGCTGTTGTTCAGGGAATGAATTCTACCGAAGAAAACAATGATGTCAGGCTTGCTGCCATACGAGCATTGTACTATGCATTGGGTTTTGCTCAGGCAAATTTTTCTAATGATATGGAGCGTGATTACATCATGAGAATTGTTTGCGAGACAACTCTTTCTCCTGAAGTGAAGATTCGGCGAGCAGCTTTTGAGTGTTTGGTAGCCATTTCTTCAACATACTATGAAAAGTTGGCTCCTTATATCCAAGATATCTTCAACATTACTGCCAAGGCTGTGAAGGATGATGAGGAGCCAGTTGCACTCCAGGCAATTGAGTTCTGGAGTTCAATATGTGATGAAGAAATTGAGATATTAGAAGAGTACGGAGGTGATTTTAGTGGGGATTCAGACGTTCCTTGCTTTTACTTTATTAAGCAGGCACTTTCATTTCTTGTTCCCATGTTATTGGAGACACTGCTAAAGCAAGAAGAGGATCAAGATCAGGATGAAGGGGCTTGGAACATTGCTATGGCTGGAGGCACCTGCTTGGGATTGGCTGCACGAACAGTTGGTGATGATATTGTGCCTCTTGTTATGCCATTTATCGAAGAAAACATAACTAAACCAGATTGGAGGCAAAGGGAAGCTGCAACCTATGCCTTTGGCTCCATTCTGGAAGGTCCATCGCCCGACAAACTTATACCACTTGTGAATATGGCTTTGAACTTCATGCTCACTGCACTGATTAAAGACCCAAACAATCACGTGAAGGACACTACTGCATGGACTCTTGGACGAATGTTTGAGTTTTTGCATGGGTCAGCTTTGGATACCCCAATTATAACTCAGGCAAACTGCCAACAGATTATTACTGTGCTGCTTCAGAGCATGAAAGATGTTCCAAATGTTGCTGAGAAGGCATGTGGTGCTCTTTATTTTCTTGCCCAAGGTTACGAGGATGCTGGATCTTCATCCTCTCCATTGACCCCCTTCTTTCAAGAAATTGTTCATGCTCTTCTCACTGTAACTCACAGAGAGGATGCTGGAGAATCCCGCCTTATAACAGCAGCCTATGAAGCCCTAAATGAAGTAGTGAGGTGTTCTAATGCTGAAACAGCTCCAATGGTTGTACAGCTTGTTCCTCTTATCATGATGGAGCTCCACCAGACTCTTGAGAATCAAAAGGTTGGATCTGATGAGAGGCAGAAGAATGAGTTACAAGGCCTTCTCTGCGGTTGCTTGCAGGTCATCATACAGAAGTTAGGTTCATCTGAACCAACAAAATATCATTTCATGCAGTATGCTGATCAAATTATGGGTTTATTTTTAAGAGTGTTTGCGTCTCGAAGTGCAACAGCTCATGAGGAGGCTATGCTTGCCATTGGAGCTTTGGCCTATGCAACAGGCTCTGATTTCGCGAAATACATGACAGAATTTTACAAGTATTTGGAAATGGGTCTCCAAAATTTTGAGGACTACCAGGTTTGTGCTATCACCGTGGGTGTGGTTGGTGATGTATGCAGGGCCTTGGAGGAGAAAATACTGCCTTATTGTGATGGGATAATGACCCAACTTCTTAAGGATTTGTCCAGCAATCAGTTGCATAGATCTGTGAAGCCTCCTATTTTTTCATGTTTTGGTGACATTGCCTTGGCAATTGGAGAAAACTTTGAGAAGTACTTGTTATATGCTATGCCTATGCTTCAGAGTGCTGCTGAGCTCTCTGCTCATACAAATGGAGCTGATGACGATATGACAGAGTACACAAATTCTTTGAGAAATGGAATCTTAGAGGCATACTCAGGGATCTTCCAAGGGTTTAAAGGTTCCCCGAAAACCCAGCTTCTGATGCCTTATGCGCCTCATGTACTGCAATTCTTGGACAGTCTGTACATGGAGAAGGACATGTAAGTAGACGTCTTGGTTTTCTAATATTCTGTCTGTCTGTGAATTTTACTATTACAGATTTTGTAATATTTGTTATTTTATTTATTGGCGTTTCTTGTTCTTTTAGGGATGATGTCGTAACAAAGACAGCAATTGGTGTGCTTGGAGATTTAGCTGATACTTTGGGTAATAATGCTGGCCCCTTGATTCAGCAATCCGTGTCAAGCAAAGACTTCCTCAAAGAGTGTTTATCATCTGATGATCATTTGATCAAGGAATCTGCCGAATGGGCTAAGTTAGCAATCAGTCGAGCAATTTCATTTTGAGGCTATTGCTATTTCATGGGTCCTAGTTCTTGCATACATCTGCATTTGTTGCGTGGGGGTCTCAACTGCATACCATGAGTCCGGGTCATCACCATTTTTGGGCACAGGTCTTTCGGTCCTTTGGCTGTCTGCATTTCATGTCAGCAGTATGGAGTCTGCTTTTTCATTTTATTTTTTTACATTTATTCTTCTGCATTGCTATGGAGGAAGTCGGTGGGTGATGACAAAATCTTCCTGCTACCTTGGCAGAAAAGATGCGATTTTTACATACAGGAGGAGAAACAGGGTTAAATGGGGGAGGAGCAAGAAAGGAGATATCTCATGATATCTGCCAATGCCGTCTCTATTGGGCTTGCATGAGTATTTTGAATGTTTGGAGTCTATGGTATGGTCCACATATGACATTATGTCCTTTTCTTTTTTCTTTTATTATTGGCTGTAGAGTGAAACAATCATCTTAGTCCATCCATGTGTTTTGAATAGGTAATGCAACATATTTTAGCCGTTCCCTTAAATTACTCAAATAATTTTGTCTACCGCATCAAATTTTTTATTGAGCTATTTTTCTAGTCACTAATACGTATATCTTCAATGTCGCGTCTGTGAATACCGTGTCAAGGGACGTGTTAGTATAATGATTTCTGGTGGTTCGAATCTCGGGAAATTTGTGCATTGTTTAGGTGCGTGCGTGAGTGCGTTGTTTATTGTTAAGATGATTTTTGGAGTTGTAATTTAGGCCTTCACCTTTTTTTAGTAGCAGAGTTTTTTACGTGGTCGTTTTTATATGGTCATTGCGCGATTGAAATCTTATCGCCAAGCATATAGTTTTCGTGTGGCATTCGATCTGAGTTGTGCTGTATGTTTGCTCCAATCGAGTAGTATGATGAAGTAGCCGGATGGCCATGCGAAGCTACACAAATACCAGCAAAGTCTGACGTCTAATGTAAGATGTTACTGGACGAAGGCTTGTATATTGCACGACCTTGAAATATTGCTCGCTCTCCTGTGTAGAAAAACTTTCAATCTCATGATTTAAAATTCATTTTCGTCCTGCTTATTCCCTCTATTATTAGCTTCTTTTATTTCATTTTATTTTATTTAATCAAATAAAATAAGATAAACAGTTATTGATAAGCTTTGAAAATTTATCGAGAGTAACACTTTATTTAGGATTTAAACCTTTCATAGGATATGATTTTGTTGGATATATATATATATATATATATATATATATATATATATATATATATAGGGGCAGGATATTCTTACACCGGTGTAAGAGTTAGAAGTCTTACACTCAATCTTGACCATTGATCCACTTGTATCCAATGGCTCACATTACTAAAAAATTAGAGCCCTTAGATATAAGTGGGATCAACGGACAAGATTGAGAGTGTAACTTACACTGGTGTAAAATGATCCTGACCCATATATATATATATGGGAAAAGTGTGTATAATTTTGAAGGATGTAAAGTTGTGTCATTTTAAGAGAGAGAAAGAGATAGATAAAGGAGGAGAGAGAGTTGACAAAAAAAATAAAGTTGTGGGTCCCACCTCTTTGTGAGAGTGAAAGGATGTAAGTTGTGTAATTTAAATGTATAGACACTTTTCCCTATATATATATATATATATATATATATATATATATATATATATATATATATATATATATATATATATATATATATATCAGCTTATCGTTTCTCAAGCTGCTTGAGACAATGTTATCTTCGGCTACTAAATCATAACCGTACAAATATAGATCAATGGGTGATAAAGGAAGAGAGAGAAAAATAGAATCATAACCATTCAAAGGTGAATCATATAATATAAGGAAATAAATTAACAAAATCTTGAGACAATGTTATCTTCGGCTACTAAATCATAACCGTACAAAGATGGATCAATGGGTGATAAAGGAAGAGAGAGAAAAATAGAATCATAACCATTCAAAGATGAATCATATAATACAAGGAAATAAATTAACAAAATGACGTAGTTTTAGAGTGGTCGGAGATAAACTTATCTCAAGCAGCTTGAGAAATGTTTTTTTTTCTCTCTCTCTCTATATATATATATATATATATATATATATATATATATATATATATATATATTTATCATCAAATGATTTATCATGGTTGATTATAGGGTTATTAGATATATTAAAAAAATTGTGTTTTTCTGTTTTTAATAGGATTATATTTTTGTTATTTAAAAACAGAAGAAGATTCTCAATTGGTTCATCTTTTTTTGTTTTAATATGGAACTGTTTTGGTTGATTATAGGGTTATTGCCATTGTTGAGATTTTTCAATCTTTCAACTAAATTATGAATCTTTTAATTTTAAAATAAAAAAACTTAAAAAATTTACATCGTTTGAACTTGACTTAAAGAAACCGTTACTACAAAAGAAAGTTTATTTACGAAAGTTTATTTTGGATGTGTTCCATAACGATGTCGAGTTTGCACAATGCTTTTGCCAAAATTGGGTGTTTGGACAAGAAAAATAATAGCTATATGGAAAATTATAGATAAATTGATATAAAAAGTTGAAATTATAATTGTAATAATGGTACTCCATTATTGTTGGGTAAATATGATTAACTCGAAAACTATTTTAAATTTAATTATTTGTTTTGATAATAAAAAATTCAGTTGAAATGATTTTGTAAATAAAGATAGAAATTATTGTGTAGGAGATAAAATTATCATGTCTTACACATACAAACATGTAGGAGGCTCATGTAAAGAGAAAAGAGAAAAAAAAAAGGTCTCATACACTTTTATGTATATGTAGAAGATAAAATTATTTTTTATAACATGAAAAACATTAATCACATAAAAAATATCCAACAAAACTTATTTAGAAACAACAGAGAAACATTAAAAGCAAACCTCTATTTGTAAGTTACCAAATCACCTGAAATAATTATAGGGTGTTCAGTCCTAGGTAGATCGTGAATATTATCATATAGGAATACCTCAAAAATATTTATAAGAGAGATATTTAATTAGCTCAAGACTAATATATCAATCACTGCATATAAGCAATACGCTTATAGCTAGTGTAACTATGTGTGTTCAGTATTGGCAATAAGAATAATTAGGTTCAAAATCTGTATACGAGAGACTTTAACCTTTATTTATAGAAGGAATTACCTGTAGGTTAAATTACTAGTAGAAATGTGATTCTTTGAGATAAGATGATTGAGTTATCATCTAATATTATTAAGATAAATCTCAATCTTATATTGAATAAGTTGTTGAGATATGAATTCAGTTCATAAGATACAGGATTATCAAAAAAAAAAAAAAAAAAAAATTATGGGGGATTGATCGCATAGATCAATATGATTTTGTCCCTGGAATAAGCTTTGGGATGTCCTTTTCTAGTTTTCTTTGACGCAAACCCTTATCTTAAGGAAAAAGTTAGTGGTGTGTTAATTTTGTACGAGATTATTTTATAAAATAAAATTAATGACTAAGTCTTGATTCAGCATTGTGTATTTATACTTGTATCGGACCTAAGTACGTATTTTTAGCGTTAACTGACGGAGATAATGTATTCCTAAACAGTTATTATCATTATTATTTTCATTTTCATGAACAAGAAAGCGTAAAAATGTTTTTTTTTGTTTTTTTTTAAAGTGAAAAATGGTGTATAATCTCTCCTCCACAATCTGGGCGGAGTGCAGTGTAGTGTACGTGTAGTTTGCATTTCTCCCCTCACTGTACTCACTCTGCAAGTGACACACTCTCCTCTTTTTTTGCAATTCAAACATTGAAACCCTAACTCTGTAATTCCCAATCAATGGCGATCCTATCTCAATCAACCGCTAGCTTCTCACCTTCCTTCATCTCCACTCGGAACGATTTGACTCGCCTAACACGGTTCCCCTGCGTCACCTTGACTCAGTTCCGCAGAAACCAAACCCGCTCTTCAACTCGTCGACTTATCGTATCTTCTCGTCTCAATTCCTCTAAATCCTCTGATGCCGGTGGCTCTGTCTCGCCGGACAACGGCGATATCCCCTACGAGCTCCAACACGATTTTTCGCCGCAGCGTGAGAGGAGTGGATCGCCGGTGTTCGTAACGCTCCCTGTGAATTCGGTTGGTCGAGAAGGACAGGTTTGGAGGCCCAAAGCTATGATGTTTTCGCTTAGAGCGCTGGCTTCGGCAGGTGTAGAAGGCGTGGTTGTTGAGATTTGGTGGGGTTTGGTTGAGAGGAATGAGCCTAGGGTTTATAATTGGCGAGGATATCAGGAACTGGTGATGATGGCTTGCATGTGTGGCCTTAAGGTTCGAGCTGTTCTTTCGTTCCATCAGTACGGCACAGGCCCTGATGATCCTAATTGGTATATGCCAATTCACTTTATTAATTGCCATTTTTCGATTCCTATGATGAACTTTTCGTTTATTTTTTGTCTTTTTGAGGTTTCAGTTAAGATTTCCTATTCACTTGGTCTAAAATCTTTGGATACGTATAATTAGCTTCAGAGTGATTTTGTTTACTGGAATTCGCGATTTGTGCTGCTAGGAGAGGTGGTTAGTTTATTGGCCGAGTCTGTGAAAGGCAGAGGAGCTTGATCTGTTATAGTCTATTAGTCCTCTTGCATCTTATTTGCAGTTTAGATGAGCAATGCTATGCTAAGTTCATCTGTTTCGATCGTAACACAGTGCAATTATATTTTATCCTTTTAGGTGCCGTTTCTTGCCAATCATTGAGCCTCTGCTGTGGCCTGCAGTAAAAGTTAATATGTCCTTCTGTAAAAAAATAAAATAAAAAAATTGCAAGTTGGTATCTAAGGTTTGTAGTTTTAAAAAGATAAATATAAAAGAGAAGGGTTGTTTTAGGCAGTTGGCAACCAGCATAGGCATTGATTGATCCAGGCAGCTGATCCTACCTGGTTGGATAAGGCATGGTTGTTGGTATGATTGATAGATGTTTGGTGGTTGCTCATCTTTTACATTGACAGGATCTCTTGAAACATTAAACTATAGATTTTTTAAAATATATTTTAGTAGTGTGTGGGAAAATGACAATTCGAGCCTGTAATTTTTTGCTTCAATATTCTATGTACATTTTACCTTGGCAATCTTTATCTAAGTAGCGTTTGGTTTGTTTTGAATTATTACTAATTTACTATCTTTGCAGGTAGTTATTTTTCCTAGTCATGAGCCTCATACTCTGGAATTTTGTCCCCTTGTGTAGGATACCACTTCCCCTATGGGTGCTTGATGAGATACATAAAGATCCGGAGTTATCATATTCTGACAGGTTTGGAAGAAGAAATATTGAATATATTTCCCTTGGATGTGATATTCTTCCAGTGCTACGGGGACGTTCTCCTATTCAAGCATACGCAGATTTGATGAGGGACTTCAGGGACACTTTCAGGCCTTCGCTTGGTGTTATCATTACAGTAAGGTTCTATGATGATTTTGGGATGTTAAAGTCCAATGAATATTCAAATTCCCAGCTATTATTATCAGATGATCATTGTAGTTTGTGTAACAATGTTCATTTCAGGGTGTACAGATTGGCATGGGTCCTGGCGGTGAACTAAGATATCCTTCATTCTCTTCACAGAAGCCAAATTTGGCTTTGCCTCATGAACTTGGAGAGTTTCAATGCTATGATAAGGTAGGTTGAAAATTCAGCTTTAGCTATTAGGTTGTAGAGTTGTAGACTAGTAGTTAGTTATTGCCTTGTGTTCTGGGCTACTGTCGATAACCAATTTGGGTACTTTTCTATTATCAGTATCCTGTTTAACCTCCTCTCTTGTTTGCCATCTGCTAGTATATGCTTGCTTCTCTAAATGCGTTTGCAAGAAATATTGGAAAGCGTGAATGGGGAAATGGTGGTCCGTTTGGTACTGGAAGTTTGACGCAAGATCCTGAGCATACTGATTTTTTTAGAAATGAGGGTGGCTCTTGGAACACACCATATGGTAAATTTTTCCTTGAATGGTACTCAGGTATGCTGCTACTGCATGGGGAGAGAATCTGTAGGGAAGCTGAAACGATATTTAGGGGTACAGAAGTCCATATATCAGCAAAATTGGCTGCCATTCACTGGCATTATGTGACACAATCCCATCCATCGGAGTTAACTGCAGGCTATTACAATACTTTTAACAGGGATGGATACTTACCCATCGCTCGCATGTTTAGTAAATATGGATTCTCAATGTGCTGCTCTTGTTTTGAAATGCAAGATGCAGTAATGAAGAAGATCAATCCAGATGGTAGCCCTGAAGGTTTTCTTAGGCAGCTTTTGCTGGCTGCTAGGCTCTGTGACTTACCACTTGAAGGTCAAAATTTTTCAACTAATTTGGATGATGGTGCATTCACCCAGGTGCTGAAGATGTCAAAATTTTACTCGAATGGGATTGAGAAGCGCCCCTTCTCATTCAATTTCGTAAGAATGGGGAAAAAAATGTTTGAATCCCGAAATTGGGATCGGTTTACTCGTTTTGTGAGGCAAATGTCTGATGGAAACATTTTTCGAGCCAGATTAAATTCTGTAGGTGACTTACGGTTGAAGACCACACCTGGGGCCGCAGAAGTGAGACTGTTGTACCGGCTATACCAGCACAGTTGAAACTAGTTTCGGTTTCTGTTCTAAAGGCATATTTTAGTATTACCACCATCGTTGCAAGATAATCTGATGACCTCTGGTCTAGTGTTGTGAAATGTGTAGTAACTGCTGATTCTTTGCATGATTCTTTTATTGCTTTTCGGGAACTAGTTACTTCTTCAAAGTACCGCATTACATTGCCTTCCAGATTTTTAATATGGGTGGCATGTTATCCACTTGTACCTGTATTCCAAATAGCTTGAGACACAATCTTGAAACCAGTTACTGTTGGGGATCTTAGTTTTGGGGCTCTGTTTAATCCTTTGTTCTAATGAGATGGACTCTTGCCATGCTGGCTATATATAGCTTTTTGGTATATATCTCAGAGCAGATTGTCTGTTCTGAGTGTACATTTACCATCAATCTTACTACATTCCGTTTTGGTTTTGGAAAATTGTTTGAATGGCCATTGACCTCTCTACCTTACCTTTTCTCGAAAGAAAGTTTTAGTGAATGTGACGAATTTAACAAAACTTTTGTAGCCAAGGGATTTGTCACACCGCAGTCCGCAAGTTACTCCTGTTGCTCATATCATACAAGTTGAGGCCTTCGCCTAATTAGTTGACTAGAAATATGTAGAGACTTGAAATGAAACTGCACTCCCAGGTTTATTGCTTGAGATTAAACTTAGCGACAGGAAACTGGAACATGAAATTATTAAATAAGAGAATCTTATTTTAAATTAATGCTTCGTTTGTAGCCAATGGCTTTTATTATTATAGGATTTAATGTTTTTCATGTTGTTGGAGATAAATTTATTTTTTATATACACATAAAAATATATGAGATTTGTATAGAGGAGAAAGAGAAAATATAAGCTTCATATATTTTTATGCGTAGGAGATTTTTATTTTCTATAATATGAGAAACATTAAACATATTATTATATTACTACAGATGGGGTATAAAACTGAAAAATATAACAAAAAATAATATGATTTTATTTCTCTAAGAGGCTAATCTTATAAATTTATGGCTGGGTTGTTTGGCTTAGAAACACACGAAAATAAATTATCCATAATCCTAAATTTTTTTAAAGGGAAAAATATCTATCCTTTTAAAGGATATAAGTTTATATCCTTTTAGATCCTAACCGTTGATTTCCGTCCATCAACGGTTATAATCTATTGGACCAAACTTAATGGGCCAAATTTATTATTAATTAATTAATAATTTTAATCCAATAAATTATAACCGTTGATGGACGAAAATCAACAGTTATGATCTAAAAGGATATAAGTTTATATCCTGTGAAAGGATAGATGTTATTCCCTTTTTTAAAAGACCTTGTATGATTTTACTTTGTTTTTGTATTTCCGCAAATTTAACGAAACAAAAAAAGATCGCAGTTTAAACTGCAACTCTGTTTTCAACAATCACTTGACCTTTGGCTTAATGATAATCTTTTTGGTTAATGAATATAATGACGTCTACTATACGAATTTTATTATCCTGAAAAATACCAAAAAAGAAAAAGGTAACGAAATTTCATTGATCCGTGAGTCCGTGACAGACTAAACTACACGTGTTGATTTGTTGATCCATCAGTATTGATTTGGATTTTCAGCTAACCCAATTCAACACAATAATTATACTCTCCTTGAAACCAAAAGGCATCCTTATTATCTCATGATACTGCATAGCTCTGCATGAAAAAGCATGATCATTTCTGGTAAGTTTCAGCCACAGAGGGAATTGTCACGTGTATAGTCAACTATATATATTTTTCTTAGACGTATCAATTAAACGTGTTTAGATATATCTCCAATATTGGCTGTTGTGGTTAGTGGCCTGTGAGTACGTACTAACTGGTGCGTGAGTGTGACACCCCATTTGGAGCATGAAATGATTCATCACATTGACTCGAGGACAGCTAGTCGCTACAAGACACTCGTAGCAAAGAGACCTCTCTCTCCTCACAAACTTACTGATCATTCATTTCTTAATTTCTCATGTAGCATGATTAGTAGGTACAATTTAATTGATGGTGTCAATTCCTCTCATCTACAGAATTCAGATCAAATATCTCTTCTTTTCTTTGTAAGAGACAAAATGTTGTCCAATTGTGGTAAATGTTGCACAATTCTTTCTGCACAATTAACAGGTTAAACTGAGTGAAACATGCACTAGGAGGAACATATTGCTATAGCCATGCTTATTTAAATTAGGCCTTAACCTTTAAGTCGCTTTAAAACAAGTGACACTGATCCTACATCTTATCAAAGCTTCAACTCAAAGTTAATATAGCAATAATTGAAACGTATAGGAGAATTGTGGTTTGAAATGTTAACGATCATTTTTACAACAGGTATACCTTTTATAGTGTAAGCGCACGATATACCTCCTTGCTTTGAATGGCTACAAATAAATCTTCTCGTAGCAATCACTACGGGATGATAGACAAAGATGATCATATCTTCCAAATTATGACTCAAAAGGAAAGTAAGAAGTATGTGGACATTATTTCTTATTTCAAAAACAATAATGATTTAAGTGACTAAAGAGAGTAATATGAGGATCAAATGTAACCCTATCTTTTTGAACTCTTCTCAGCTTAAAAGACTTTTAAGTAATAATAGCATAAGCCAACAAACTTATCCTATGCTGATTCTCAGTTAATTTTCATTGCTTTTGTCCGTAGGCCTAGAGCTGTCAAAATGGGTCAATCTGTTCCATTAGATCTTAGCCTATGTAGGTTGGGGTCAAAAAGCATGTAAGGACAAATGATCTATAATAATAAGGGAAAAACTACTCTTATATTACATGTGATAACTTTCTCTCCTACACACCCTTCGATAACTGTGCCACATTTTTATTTTTTATTTTTTTTATTTTTCAGGTCGTGGAGCCCACAAATTTATCTCTATGACATGAGATAACTTATCTCCTTTAACATGAGATTAATAAAATCCTAATAATAAATACCCGCAAGGGTCAAAAGTCCAATGAGCTAGGGCTAGCTTGCGGGTTATTCAAAATTATAATTTTATTTTTTTATCATATTTAATACATCAAAATTATTTTAACAAATAAATATTTAGCATTTTCATAAAATATTCCATACAAAATATAAATTTTGTATAATTTAATTTTTTTAATAAAACAATATTTGTATACAAATATACAAGTGAAAATGTAATAACTTTTTTTAATATAAGTTGAAATTTAATTTTACTATGTTTGTTGAGTTTCGTTGTCAAAGGATGTCATCAAATTTCTCACAAGGAGTCATAAGAGCACCATTCACGAGAGAAACTCTAGTGGAAAATCAAAAAGAGCAACGAAAAAATTATCTTAATGCTAGTATTGAACAAATGTTCTTAGTATGCTATATATATTAAAGTTAAATCATTGACTTTCTTCAACTATTGCCCGTTGTAAAAATATTTTTACTTGTTATTATCCACAAGACAACCACGGTGCACCGTATGTCATACGATTCAGTACAAATTTGGATATACAACATACCTAGATGTCAATAGTTTTTTTTTTTTACTTTTACTTATATTATGTTTATAATTTATTACGAGGTAGGATCCTTTGACACAAGTGTCAAATTTAAAGTTTGACACCTCATCTGAGAGCCGTTAGATAAAAAAATATCAACGACTCTGATTTGTAAGCATGTGACACCATTGATATTTTTTGATCTAATGACTTTCAGATGAGGTGTCAAACTTTAAATTTGACACCGGTGTGATCCTGCCCCATTTATTATATATATATATATATATTTAAATTTATATATATTTTTTAAAATAATAAAAATTTTAATGAAGAAAAATATTTGGCCCGCGTAAAAGCCTTAATCCAGCCCACTAAATTATAAGACTTTGGGAGTTATGGCTAAAAAATGACCCTAAAGGGGTGTTTGGTATAAGTTTTTTAGTTGAAATGCTGGGAAAGTAAGGTGAGAATTTTTTTTTCCCCATGTTTAGTAGAAGTAAAAGTGAAAATAATCACAGGATATTTTTTTCTGCATCATTTTATTTTTAACTACACATTCCCAAAAAATAATATCATCCCACCTATGGTATTTTTTTCCCACCAACCAAGAAACGCGTAACAATATTTTGAGACGAAAATGCCCTAAAATGAACGTTTGATGACTGACAAGAGATTCAATATTCAAAATGATAGATAATTTTTTTAGGTTCCAATCAATATTTTACAATCAATCAAACATAACATCAGTAAAATTAACTCAATATTCTCAAAAAAAATTTGGCTTACCAAACACCTTTTCATAACTTATCTTGAAAAAAAAAATTCTCACCATATTCTCATAAATTTTTTTTTCTCAATAAAAAAACTCCTCTACCAAACACACCCTAATAATTAGGACCAAATATAAGATTCTGTACGTATCATCGCATTTTAACACCTCTATCGTAGCCATACAATGCGGCACTTCCAAAGTTAATGTTGAAAAGTCATGTAGCGATCATGTATAGCTCGTAAGCACCAATACGTTGGTTGACTATCTTCAAATGGGATTATTTATCAGTAACTAAACTTTAAATCGGACAAGACAGTTCAATGTATCCCGTTTGTACATAATAAGAGAAAAGCCATGCACAATAACATAACTAGCTAGTGCAACGCATACGTCAAGTGCTTATTTGTGAATTGCTTTTGGTAAGAGTGGTTTTGGTTCTAAACTTTTTTTAGGTTCAGATGCAATTGAAATTAATTGGTATAGTTGACTTCGTCCACATGCCAATGCCTATCCCATTATCTTTATTCATTCAAGTTCAGTGCATCATGACAAACCACATCCCCACATGTATCCTGCGAGGAATAAGGGCAATTTTACCATTCTAACCTCCCTTTCCCCCCCTTAAAAACAAAAAAGAAAAAGAAAAAGAAAAAAGAAAAGGACAGAAAAAGGCTTCATGCATCCATTCTCAGTGCCATGCCTATACTATTATACATACTATAAAAGCATATATATTCCCCCTGCATCTCAATTTCGGTCATCGTTCAAGCTGGCTATACCCAACTTTATGGATCCCAAGCTTAGAATTTATATTTTCATCCTCCTTTTGCTCTTTGTTGAACTGTATCCAGGTAAGCAGGTTCTCCGGATATATTTTAATTAAAGTCCATTACCAGAATGATATATAACTAAATCAAATTCGTTTCTTTGAATCTCTTGTAGGTAGAGTCAACAGCTTGATGATTAGAGTGGATGTATTAAAACCACCAACAGAGGTAAACTTATTAGATGGCTGTTTGTGTCATTATTGTATTTGGTAATTAATATGTGAATATATTATATATATATATATATCTAACATTAGTCTAAATTAAACACCATTTTATTGAAGGCCTCTTTTGAGATGAAGGGAAGACAGCTTATGAAAGTTGATACCGATGACTACAGAGAATCTGACTCTAATCATAGGAATGATCAAGGGAAAGGGAAGCCTCATGTTTGAAGCAAACTTGCAGAGGTTGCTTATATTATATTACATTATTATATTATGTATATTTTAAATGGAATAAATAATTCAAGCCAGCTCACTGCTTGGAGCTGAAAAGCAGAAGCAGAAATATCATAAAATCTGACAGCTGAAGATTTCCTTCTACTATGAGTTTTATATTTCTGTAATATTTTATGTTACAATCAAATGCTGAAGATCTCTATCCATACCAAGTTACCAACAATCTCGCTGAGTTTAAATAAGTTTATGTATCAAGGGAATTTATCTATGAAATTATAAATTGTTATTTCTTCCTCTTCCTTTATTTCATGTTCAACCTTTGTTTTTTTATCTTCTTATTGGTATTATTGATCACTAGTATTAATAGGCGTCTATTTTCTGGAGATATATTCCTTGGCAAACGTTAGGCTCAATTCAGTGACGTGCTTAAAGGTAGATCACAATAACATTATCATAATTTTAAGAGAAGAGAAAATATAAAAGTTAGTTATAAAATTATGATCTAACGGTGGTATTAAAGATGAGTAGATAGGTAGGCATAATTTTATATATGATTGATATTAAATAGAGTGGTTATAAATAATACTTAACAAAAATTTATCTTATACGTTACATTTATATGTATAGTTATATTTTCTTGATAAACGAAATGATGATGATAGGTATAGAATTGGCAAAGATAGGAAGTCAACTTCATGGTAAGTGCCATGGTTTCAATGATGTGACCCTCAACATCCCCTACATCTCAATTCTGAATTTAATCAATTATAAATGGATTCCCGACTTTGGGAGTTGATACTTATTTTCATATTTTTCTTTTATTCAAAATTTAAGATAAAGGAAACTAAGAATTACATGTATTATTTTCAAGGGAGAGTTGACTAAACGATTAAGTTACTCTCAAAATTGGCAATTGCTCAGTTAGTGCTACATGTTACCTCCCTGGCTACCTCTAATCAACAACTCAGCAATAAATGGTATTTATGCATTGCAAGCCAAATGGAAGCTGAGAATTTATTTATTTTCTCTAAAAAATGAATTACTATTGTTTATGCATTTTATATTTTTGTTCTGGGTCGATATCTTGGGTAAATGATAGGCTAAAAGAGTATATCATATTATCATATAACTGTCAACGACTACTTTACATATCAAAACCCCTCGGAATTAGGTTAACTCTACCATCTTATTTAAGATTCGTTCAACCTTGGGTTCATTTATGTATGCATCTTTTTTATATTGCATTCCGCCTTTATTTACATATTGATGTGAGCTAGTACTGTTGAAGTTCTTGCACCTACATCACCAAATTTTGCCCCTTATAAGTTGATGATGTTTGATAGGAGGATTTTTTTGGGAATTCTAAAAAAGCGGGGTGGGGAAATTTCCCCCCATGTTTGGTAGGAGGCAAAATAGAAATAATCTTGGAAACTTTTTTTCCCATCATTTTGATTAACACGATGGATTCCCAATTGTGAATACCATCCAACCCATGGTAATATTTTTTTCCCATGCGCTAGGAAAGGATTTACACCTCTGCCAAACAAAAATACCCTGTGAAATTGGGATCGTTTTGCTCTTCGTTGCTTAAACATGTAGGGGAGGATTGACTCTTGTGAGCAATCTGAGGATTTAACAATGGCAAGCCTGCAAGAGGAAGAACAATGAGCTGGAATTCTTAATCCCCTAATGGAATTTTCAGTTGGGTATCACCGTAAATCAGTTCCTATCCATATTTGCATCTTCAAACTTAGACTTCAGGTTCATATATATATATATATATATATATAGGAAAGTGTTTTATTTACAAATTTTTTGTTTACAAACTACACTATGTTCTCCCGGGAGAATACTAGGTTACACTATGTTCTCCCGAGAGTACATAGTGTAATTTGCAAAAATTTGTAAAAAATATATATAAACGGATTCTTCCTCATATATATATACCTATATTTTCTTTCTTGGGGTCTCATATTTCGTAAGATATTAAATTGGGGTGGATGATGATATATGTAGTTGCAAATGACAAGCAGTGAGCATTTTCATTTTTGTTCTATAAAAGAGAAAATCATGAGTTGAATGGTTCACAAATAGTGGATTCTTGTTATTTTCGACAACATTACCCAGAGAGAGATGACTTAGGTCAAATGAAGGTTGAAAGAGATTCAATATTCATAATGAAAGGTATTCTTGTAATTTCGGTCTAATTTTCAGCAATATTTTACAATCAACTAAACACAGTATTAGACAAATTAACCTAATATTCCTGAGAAAATTTTGCCTTATCAAACAACTTTTCAATAACATTTCTGAAAAAAAAAAAAAACTTCTCATCATATTTTCAGGAATCATGATTTCTACGTGAAATTTTTTTTCCTCTACCAAACACCTCGTGAGAGAATTCATCATTAACGATATGGATCAACCATCAAAAAGACCATAAGCCACCTTTTCAACCGGTTCATATAACACCATTTTAAAATATTTATAGCAGAGGAGGATCCAACAAACTGAAATAATAATTCTTGCTTCTCGCCAATAATTATTTATACATACATAATATACTGTTAGTTGAAAAGAGTTCATCTGCAATGATATCATTAGTTGAATGACAATAATTGCTGTTTCTCTGCCTTTTAATCTACTGTTGATTATTGTGCATATGGATCAATCGCACTAATTAAAAGCATGATGTTAACCATAAAGTCAAGGGTGGATGCCTAACATGTCTGAAATGACCCGTCTGCACTAAAGGGAGCCAAAAGAAGAAAAATATAAAGTAAATATCAGTTATGGTAGACAAAATCCAATCACTAACTGCCACCAAATAATTGGCATATAACAACCCTAGTTTTTTTTTTTTGATAACAACAACCCTACTTTTATTTACATTTACTGTAGATGTTGGGAATTCAAGCCCGAGTAATAAAAAATCTCGTGGGATAACATGATATATATAAGTGAAAAAAACTTATGAAGTCAATATGTTAGTATTTTGGATTGAAATATGATGTGATATTTTTTTATCGTGAGTTTGTCACTTATGCTCGTTTGATGCGTGTATGATAGTCTTCTTTGACTGCTCACCCAATAATAGATAAGTTTTTGTAAAAAATTAATTGAATCCAAGACATGCACTAGCGTTACAGCCACGAGCGGATCCACTTGCGGGCTTGCGGACATAAAATTTTTGATTTCAGTTTTTTTTTCTTGGTTGCAGGCCCTTATTTGTCTCTTGATTCAATATATATATTAGGAGTAAATACCTTTTTAAGTTTCTAACAAAAAATTTGATCCTTATTTTAGTCCTTTACAAAAAAAATAGACTCGAGGTCCCTAAAAAATTTAAGGTGGATCAATTTAGTTAAAATCATGGTCCCTCACAAATTCAAAAAAGATCTACATTAGTCCCTCAAAAAGACCAAAATGGGTCCACTTTGAATTTCATAGGGACCGACTAATTTTTTTTTATAATGGACTAAAGTGGAGACTAAATTTTTTGTTAGGGACCAAAAAAGATATTTATTCTTATATTAGTTAGCAACGTAGCAGCAATGTACATGCTCTCTTCATTCTTTGTTTCCTTTTTCATTTTTATAAAAAAAGAAGATTGGTTGCAGGTCTGACATTCTCAAATAAGTTAATATCTAGAGACGAGGTCTTCAATGTGATTTTGCTTGCCTTCTATATAGCTAGTGTTGACTTTTTTTGAATGATGATGTATGAATGTACTAGAGTATATTTTCATATTTGTTTTGAAGGATTGGTAAGATTTAGGGTGAAAAATAATTGGTCAAACTATTACCTGCAACTTGTTATGAAAGCAACTAGATTATGAGCGAGTTCGCCGTCGATTTAGACTTTCTTTACAAGTGAAGCCTTTCACTAGCTATCATCATCTACGTTTGCAGTTAAATCCATGTTCTTCTCCGGTTGCTGATAGTTAAGGTTAACTAATGACGGTCCTGCCATTCCCTATTTGTGTCTTGTAGAGAAGCGCTTTGTAGGTGAAATATTCGCTTTTAAGATTGGAGGACGCGTGAGCATGATCCACAAACACAAGGCAGAGGGGGCAAACGGCAAGGAATAAATGGAAAAATTGTGAGATTCATATATGGCTGGGACCATTGCAAATTCTATCATTGTAGTAGTACTACTACCGCTCCAGTTACCACTATATATTACGAGTTGCTGAGAGGAAGTAGCAATTTCACTGTGCTCAGGGCGTTTGGCATAGATAAATTTTTTTTAGCCAAAAATTTTAATTTTTAAAAATATAATTTTTACATTCAATTTTTAGAGAATCTTTTTCATATGCCAGCAAAATTGAAATAAACAGTGTTGACAGTTTTTAACACTTTTTTGCGGTGCTTATTTTCCAATTTTTTAATCTAACGGTCTATATCAAGTAAGAGAGTTTAATTAGAAAAGTTTTTCGATTGTTTCGGATAGCAAGCAATAACTTCAATGCACTCCTAATTAAAGAGAATTTATTCTTGAAAACAACCAATAACTATTGGTTTAATAAATGGAGAGAGAATTGCAAGAAGTATTCATTATTAATAATTTTTTTTTGTATAAACATTATTAATAATTTTAATTTTAATCATTAAATTCTGCGAACCTAAATTATATTTTACAACAACCAATAACTATTGGTTTACCAATGTAGTTTTTACCAATGTCATCTTTACACGACACGACATAAATGATTTATAGAAACAGTAAGGAGAATTAATTTTACGTTTGCGGGTTAATACATAACATCAAACAAATTTTTTATGTTGATTTTTACCGGCACAGACACATTATGATTATGAAAATGATTGTATCCAAACACAAGTTTTAGTATCATGTTTGTATCTTCTTAGAATGTTGTGTTAAAAATTGTCGCTCCTACAAAGCTTACACATTTAACAATCACTCTTGGGTTCATCAACCGATTTAAACTGCGGTAATCGAATCAAAAAATCGATAACCGAAAATTGAAAAATCGAAAAAAAAAATCACAAATTTTAATTGGATTGGATCGGTTTTCGGATGAGTTGATGAAAACCGATCCAATCCAAACCGATCCAATATATAATTCTTCTCTACCTACTTAAGTCTTTCTCTAATCATAGCCTAAAAATTTCTAAACTCAAGACCCATTAACCTATCAAACTAAACTAAAGAAAAAATTTAGTCAGATCTCATCAACAAAATTTTATCTTTGTATAACTTCATATCTCATTGCAAAAAAAAAAACTATATTATAGTTTCTTAATGCTTTTGTACTTCAAAAAAAAATAAAAAATTACAAAGCAAATATATACAAAAGATGTTATTTACACAATAATTATGAAATAAATTTTAGGATTTTCAAAAAACCGAAAACCGATCCAATTCAAATCGAAAAAAATTGGATTGGATCGGATCGGATTTGAAAAAAAATTCAAATCAAAGGGATTGGATCAAATAATTTTTGCTTCCAAAATTGATTCAATCCAGACTACGAACACCCTGGTCACTCTGCTAAGTTTCTTCACATCATTGCCCTGCTTAAGTCCTGTTGGCTCCGCCAGGGGGGCCTTTTTTTTTTTGCCACATTAAATTTAGGCAACTGCTCCTTATCAAGCGATGTGGCAAAATCATGACTAATCATCCTAAATTTCACTGTTTTTTTTCACATCATATAAATTGTATTTATATTATTATTTTGTCATTAATTTTAAATTAATTAAATTAAAATATAATAAATTATATAAATATTTTTATTTATGTGGTGATATGTTTAAAATTACTATGAATTTAAAAATATTAAATTTATTTTTAATGGTAACAATATAATTATTGATTTTTTTCTTTCTCTATTTTTAAAAAAAATCTCTTGGATTGAATATTTTGGACAAATATAAGAAAACAATTATCAAGTTGATATTATTAATATTAAAATCAACCCAAATAATAATTATAGAATAACAAATTTTACTTTACCATTTATAAATATTATTTATATTAATATATTTATGACAATTTTTAATTTAATTCCAAAATAATAATATCAATTTAATTAAATTATCAAAATAAATATTTATATGTAATATATTTTTGGCAAATCAGAAAATAAAAAAAGTTAATTATCAATTATCATTATCAATTATAAATTCGCTCAAGTTACTATTTTATTCGATGTATTTAATGTAAAATTTTAATTTGATGCAAAATAATAATTTAGTAAATTAGGAAATAAAATTAAATTATAATTATTATAGTAAATTTAACATTTTTAAATTTTTAGAATTTTGAAAGATCACAATAAATGAATTTTTTAATTTTAATGTTAATTTTAATTTTAATAATAAAGTAATAATATCAATTTAATGTAATTTATATGATATAAAAGAAGGACTGTAACTTAGGACGGATGACGAGAATTCTACCGCATGACGCAATAAAAAATTATCCCGCTACCTTAGCAAATTGAGGAATTGAGGTTTAATTATGGTCTCGTTTAAAAAAAATTCCTATTAGTGGGCCAATGAGACTTTAGTGTAGCATTATGGGTATATTTTTTTCATATAACATAAGGCTATAAAATTTCTAAAAAATAGTCTTTGTGCCACCATTAGAAGTGGAAAACCTAAAACCTAAGACAATATAATATATATATATATATATATATATATATATATATATATATGTATGTACGATATTAGTTGTTAATTAACTTAATATTAAAATTGTTAGTAACGTCAATATTCTACTTTAACAAAATCGAATATGCTTACCAAAAAAAAAAAAAATCGAATATGAATCAAAATTAAATGGAACGATAATACTTAGGTAAGTTAGGTTGGCAAGAATAACTCAAGTACATGCTTTTAAGCTAGTGATAAACATTGAATCCAATAAAAATGAGTGAGAATTTTAAACAGATAAAAATATTTATGCGTTGGCTACAAAGTTTTTTGTTTGTTTGCCACATTCATTTAAAGATAATTGGATTCCATTATAATAAGAGAAAAGAGAAAAAGTTAATGTAATATAATAAAACTCACTCATTTTTATACGAGTGTAAAAGAAAAAATATTTTCTGCAACAAAAACATAAATATTAAATTCTTTTATATATGTATTTTTTTTTTTGAGTTATCCTATTCTAATTATTTCTTTGAGACAAGTCCACTTCCTTAATATCCCAACAAACTTGACTCGGAGCCAATTATGAAATTAATCAATAATATAAAGCAAATAAAAAATAAAGATATTTAAGCCACTCTCCAATACAGGATCGAAAATTTTCTTTTCCACTAATCGCCTCACTGCTACCAAAACTACCTGACTTTGGTAATAAAAGATAAGAAAAAATATCTGCTATTTTAAAGGATAGAAAATTGTGTCATTTTAGATGAGAAGAAAAGATAGATAAAGAAAAAGAGAGGGTTGATAAAAAAACAAATGTATGAGTCTTATCTCTTTGTGGGAGTAAAATAACATAAATTCTAACATCTAAAAAGACAAATATTTTTTCACTACAAGATTTCTTATGCGTTTTACGGATAAGATAATTAAATAAAAGTATCATATTTTGCAATAAAAGAAATGAAATTTATTAGTTAAAAAAGAGTATTAATTAATTTTACTTGATCTCCATTCCCTGAACCTTTGGGAGGAGAGTAGTTGAATTACCATACTAACCTGATAGATAGAAGAAGAAGAAGAGGAGGAAGAAGAGGCCAACTGACAAAGTGAAAGTGAAAACCGTGAAACCTCCATCACAGCTCACACTTTGATAGCATAGAAGAGACATCTGATCTGTACACCCCCCAAAAACTCTAAACCTTCCTCACCACTCACCACACAAACACATTACTCTTCATTTGGTTGAGAGTGGTGCCCAGTTCTTATCATTACCCTTTCCCCTTTACAAATTTCACACACCAAACCCAACCCAAACAGAACCAACACTCACAATTCACAATTCCCTAATTCATTTCCTTTCATTATGCCGGGTCTCGTCAAAACTCCACCGGACACCGCACCGCTCCGAATCTCGATGCCCGAAACCCCGACCCAGAGATCCGAACCCGCAACCGTTAAAACCCCATCGCCACTCCCAAAGAAGCCACCCTCTCCTTCCCCTTCCCGATCGAAGAAGAAGACTCCAGAAACCCCTACTTCCCACCCGGTTCTCTCGGAGGCTTCCCTCGACAACCCGGATCTCGGACCCTTCCTCCTCAAACTCGCCCGAGACACCATCGCCTCCGGTGAGGGACCCGCCAAGGCCCTCGACTATGCCATCCGTGCCTCCAAGTCGTTCGAGCGCTGCGCCGTTGACGGTGAGCCCAGCTTGGACCTCGCCATGAGCCTCCACGTGCTCGCCGCCATCTACTGCAGCCTTGGGAGGTTCGAGGAGGCGGTGCCGGTTCTGGAACGCGCGATCCAGGTGCCTGATGTAGCCAGGGGTGCAGATCACGCGCTTGCCGCTTTCTCTGGTTACATGCAGTTGGGTGATACCTTCTCCATGCTTGGTCACGTTGACAGGTCCATCTCTTGCTATGACCAAGGCCTTCAGATTCAGATCGAAGCCTTGGGTGACACTGATCCCAGAGTAGGAGAGACTTGCAGGTATTCACTCTAATCTTGATGAAATTTTGGGATTTAATATCATTCCTGAGGATGTGTGTGTTTCAGTAATGCTTCAGATTCATAAACTTTATAATGCTAACTTGATAATTTGTGTTTGTTTAATTTGGAGTGGTTAATTGCAATTGATAATCATACTTACCTGTTAGTTTTTGTTAAATGGAGAGTGAGTTTGTTTATTTATTTGATGATATGTGAACGAATTTGATAATTGTATGTGGTAGATACTTGGCGGAGGCCAATGTACAAGCTATGCAGTTTGATAAAGCAGAGGAGCTGTGCAAGAAAACTCTTGAGATTCATCGTGCACACAGTGAACCAGCTTCTCTTGAAGAGGCAGCTGATAGAAGGCTTATGGCCCTTATATGCGAGGCTAAGGGAGATTATGAATCGGCTCTTGAGCATCTTGTGCTTGCCAGCATGGCCATGATTGCAAATGGACAAGATAATGAAGTTGCTTCCATTGATGTCAGCATTGGAAACATTTACATGTCCCTCTGTCGCTTTGATGAGGCTATCTTCTCTTACCAGAAGGCGCTTACTGTCTTTAAATCGTCCAAGGGTGAAAACCACCCTTCGGTTGCATCTGTCTTTGTACGCCTAGCTGATTTGTATCACAGGACTGGAAAGCTTCGAGAGTCCAAGTCCTATTGTGAAAATGCTCTGAGAATATATTCAAAACCTGTGCCTGGAACCACTGCTGAAGAGATTGCTGGTGGCTTGACGGAAGTTTCAGCTATTTTTGAATCCGTAGATGAGCCCGAGGAGGCATTGAAACTCTTACAAAAGGCAATGAAATTGTTGGAGGATAAACCAGGACAGCAGAGCACAATTGCAGGAATAGAAGCACGAATTGGAGTGATGTATTACATGATTGGGAGGTATGAAGAAGCAAGGAACTCTTTTGAGAGTGCTGTAGCAAAACTAAGAGCTAGTGGGGAAAGGAAGTCTGCCTTCTTTGGAGTTGTTTTGAACCAGATGGGATTGGCATGTGTACAGCTGTTCAAGATAGATGAGGCTGCTGAATTATTTGAAGAAGCCAGGGCAATTCTTGAACAGGAGTGTGGCCCATGTCATCAAGATACTCTTGGAGTGTACAGCAATCTTGCAGCAACTTATGATGCTATGGGAAGGTAAAATTATTTTTTAAACATCGTTGTTTTCTTTTGATCCTTACTCATCATGGTGTGTTGTCTCCAAAAGTCTTCAAATTTAGCAGATTAAATTACTTTTTCCCCTGATTCGTTTCATCATGCTGTGGAAATGACACTCTTAGAGCAGCCATGAAGCAATAATTATAGATTAACATTGCAAGAAACTTATAAGTGACTGACTGGAAGCGGTATAGTTGTTATATAGTTGTATGTTGGGCTGCATGATTGCAGGTTTTCTGTCATAGCTGTGTGGAGCTCAACTTTTTTATGAATCCCCCACCCCAATCTTTGCTGTTTTATATTTTGCTTCCTTGCACCATGAGTATATAACTTTTTAGTAACATTGGGAGTCACCATTGGTCTGAATACTCATGTTGCAGAGGACACATCCAGTATTATATTTTATACTCAACTTCTATTCCCTTGAGGATGGACATTTATTTTTCAAATAGAACACATCTAATATAAGAGAGTGAATCTGGAGCACTGCCAAAGCTGCTCCTTTGTGACCGAAAGGTCATTGGTTTGAATCTCGACAACAGTCTTTGCAAAAATATAAGGATAAGGCTGTGTACGAGGACTTACTCTTGCAAGTTGGGATTTGATGAGGAGTTTTTTGTTTTAATTACTTGTAATATCTGTTTTAAGTTGTGTAATGCTGTAACACTTACATGTTTGAAGCAAGATTTTATATTATTTGATGTTGAGCTTGACATCTTTAGTTCTAACCTGATGTGCTGGCGTGCTTCAGAGTGGGAGATGCAATTGAGATCTTAGAATATGTCCTTAAGTTGAGGGAAGAAAAGCTTGGAATAGCAAATCCTGATTTTGAAGATGAGAAGCGTCGGTTGGCTGAGCTCCTGAAAGAAGCAGGCAAGACACGAGACAGAAAAGCGAAATCCCTGGAAAACCTAATTGATCCCAGCTCAAAGAGGACAAAGAAGGAGGGGGCAAAGAGGTGGCCTGGTTTGGGGTTTAGAATGTAACCATATTTTTACTCATCTATATATTGAATGCACATTCTGTAACATAGGGTATCTTGTATAGGGGTGAGTATGTAATTTGGGTGCTTTCCTGTTTCTTGATATTTGTTCTCGCATTTGTTTTTCTTGGTTAATTGTTTTATCAATTGTGTTGTGACCTTATAGTCTTACCACAAAATCCCATCTCTTTCCTCCTTTCCGGAAATTGTTGAAAGCAATTTTTTTTTTCGAGTGAATAAATATTCATGAGATTGTGTTTTATTCATCTTGTGTGTGAGCTCGCTCGGTAAATCGTGTTCTCTTCATTTGGTCTCGGGATTATGCAAATGTTTGGTGAATGATGTTGTAAAGAATCAATTTAATTCAAAATCTTAAGGTGTTGGGTGAAGGTTTTTGTAATGGTTTATATTATTTTTTAATATATTTTTTTCCATGCAAGAGCCTTTTAGGCTTGAAGTGTGAATATTGTATATCTTGAAGTTACTGAAGCTTTGATATTATATAAAAAATTAATTTAACTTATTTTAAGGTGTTGGATAGGGATTTTAAAATTTAAGATGTTGGGTGAAGATTTTTTTTAATAGTTTATATTATTTTCTAAGTAAAAAGGAAAAAGTCATTTAGAAATTCATGTGTTTGATCTATTTATGATAATTGTGAACTACATCAACATGGGAAAGACTACAGAATTAATCCGTGATTCGGGTCTAATTTCTTGAGATTTTTGCTGCTGGCCTGAATGTTACTTTTGATTTCACTATTATGGGAAAAGTTATATTTATAAAAATTTTGTTTATAAATTATATTATATTTGACCGGTGACTGGTAATGCATTCTTAAGTAAAGTATTACCAGTCAGATATAACGTAGTTTGTAAAAAAAAAAATTGCCAATATAACCCTACTCCAGTGTTATTGTAGGAAACAAAGAATTGGAGGCATTCTATATATTGTTTGTCAAAAAATTGTAGGCATTTTAATTTTGATAATTAATTAACTCGAATTTTTTTTTTTTAATACAAGAAAAGTTTAGGTGAGGGTAAACACCGGTAACCCACCAGGGTGGTGGAAGACCCCCAACCTCTGAGGATTTTCGGGTGGGATTACATATCACCCACCAAAAAGGCCCTCACATCGGCCAGCGGGGTTCGAACCGCCATCCTTTTGAGACAGTAGTGAACCCGTAACCAACTGTGCCAAACCTCTCAATTAACTCGAATTTTTAATGTGGCAAATAACTTCTATAAACTATAGGAAAAACAAGTATTATGTTATAGGAAAATTCTTAAGTCATGTCATAGAGACAATCAATTGTGGGGGTCACTATTTTTAAAATAAAATAAAAAAGTAAAAGAATTGATGGGCCTATTTTTATGTGTCTGTAAGAAAATTGGTTGTGTCATGTAAAAGGATAAAAACATTACCTATAAACTATTATAATCAATTCTAGAAACTTTAACCGGAAATACACTTCTTGCAAAATTTGACATAGCAATACACTTGTTGAGTTAAAATATATTGCAATTTACACTCAGTTCGTGACATCTTAGCTTTTATTTTTTGAACAAAGTATAATTACTTTGTTGCACTATTCATCAAATAGCCAGTCGAGGGGAAGATTCTCAATTAACAAGGAATATATCAAATAGCCATGATTTTCTTTTATTAGAAAGAATTAGTACTATTATTTATTATATAAATGAAAACTTTTCATTACTTTAACTTATGCTTTAATATTTTTACACTAAATGCAGATAAGTTATTTACCTCCACTCGCAAAGTGACGTGTTTTAAGTTGAAAGATTAAAAAATTATAATGATAAAGACTATTATCTTGAAATAAATTATAATTATAAAAACACCTTAATTTTTGCTTCAAAACGATATTATTTTGGACTCATTTTAGATAACTTCCTTCACCGCAGAAAAAAGTAACCTTTAACTTATTTAGCAACTAGTCTTAAATCTTAGCGTCATAGTTGCATTTGTCAAAAAATTTCCTAGTAGCATCGTTATTCTAACAATTTTCACACAGCATAAATATTTTTATTGGGCTGCCTCTCTTATGACGTATTTTAGTCTGTCTGTACATTTGTTTTTACAATGTTTACATAATGTTTTGAGAGAATTATTGAGCCAACAGACTTGGAAAGTGTGTTAACTTCGATGATATTGATTAATAAAAAGATTAGCTAAAGTACAAACTCATTTCCTAGCAAAACAAACTTATGTATATATATAAGAAGTGTATCACGTCAAAGTGTGGAGAGTTAATTATATAATCTTACATAAATGATCAAGGCTTGTTTAAAATAAAACTAGTCTTGACTATTTGTATATAGTTATATGGTTAAAATTAGCTCCTATCATGCTCACACTTGGTGCGTATGTATTTGTAGAATTGTAGTGATAACTAATTACACAATTTGATCAATAATTTATTATTAGTTTTTTTATATTATTTTGGCTTATATTGATTAATGTTTAATGCTTTTTCTGCCCAAGATTAGGACATGATGAACCATAGCAGCATGATGCATGTAACTGTTTTTCTGTCTCTCGTTTGGGAAAATCAATGCGTATGCATTGACGGAAATTTCTATACATCAAATATATTCAAGTGGATATATATTTTTTTTTATCAAAAAGACAAATTTTTCTTCCCATTTAAATATTTAATCCATATTTTTTATCAAATCTCAATTTTTTTTTTTTTTTTTTTTGGGACAGATATATCTGATGTACCAAAAAAATTTCTTCGCATTGACCTCGCCTAGCCGATTTTGCTGTTTTCTTTTTGGTCTTTTTTAATTCTTTATTTTGTCTTATTGAATTTAGTGCACGTCTTTCTTTATTTTGCCTTATTCATGGGCAAGACTCGGAGGATTCGAAAGAGTAGTCACTGTCACACGAAAACGAAGCGCAGAAGCGGAATACACACAAGTGTTGAGATATTCAAGTGTGATCAGTCTCACATTGATTGGTAATGGGCTAAGTGAAGAGTATATAAGTGGAAGGGACCCATGAACCCAATGCCTTAAGGTTTTGGGTCGAGACATGGTGTCAGATCCACTTGTTACGGTTGGTGTAGCCTTAGCCTATTATTGGTGGCCCCCCACTACGGGTTTCCCTCTGGACCCGCCTGACAGTAGTATCAGAGCCGGGTTGGGCTCGAGCTAGTTTGGTGATTGGCTAGGAGGTGGGTCGAGTACTTTCCGCTTCGGGTACTCGGTTGAAGGGGAGCATACCAATGGTGGGTTTCACACTTGAGGGGGAGATTGTTCGGATATTCAAGTGTGATGAGTCCTCCATTGGTTGGTAATGGGCTAAGTGAGTGGAAGGGACCCATGAACGCAATGCCTTAAGATTTTGGGTCAAGACATGGTGTCGGATCCACTTGTTACGATTGGTGTAGCCTTAACCTATTAGTGATAACCCCTGCCACGGGCTTCCCGCTGAACCGCCTGACAAAAAGGACGAAACCAAATCCCCTTTAGGAATCAAACTTCCAGGTAAGCGTATTCCCTGCACCTACCCCTTTTAATCATTTATGTTCTGTTTTCTTCTTTGGATTAGATTCTCATGTGTTGTTAGCTCCTCGTTAACAGCAGAAGGCTGAGGTCCGTAGTGAGACACCACATTATGGAAGCTTCAAAGAACACATGCTTCAATAAAAGGTCAATTTCTAATTTTGTATACTTTTTTATCAACAATTAGACTAGTAACTTAACATCCCTCTCTCCTGCCAGATCTTTTTTTATGTCCATACATGACGTACTTAGTTTTTCTTTCTTTTTCGTCCGTTGTAAATCACTATCACTGTCTTCAATTAGTTTTTTTTCTTATTCTTATCGCCGACAATTTCACCCAACATTATCTCATCCTTTATTTGTCTGTTAGTGGATGTTTGATAAATGAGAAAAAAAATTTACCCGAAAATCACGGTTTCAAAAAATATAATGAAAATATAAATTTTTTGAAAATATTTTTAGAAATTATTTAGTAGGTTAAAATATTTATAAAAATGTTAAATCAATTTTTCTGATATTATATTTGATTAATTACAAAATATAAATGTGGACCGAACATAAAAGATTAACCTTAGTTATTCAGTTTCTTTTTTTGGCACCGTTCATTTTCTTTTTTTTGGTTTTATTCATTTTCACCTCAACTCTCTCTCTCTCACGCTGGTGAAGATGCAAGTTCTGGTCCCTTCGTTGTTGCTTAATTACAGTCTCGTGGATCAAAACTCTGATGGGTCCGTTATTGTGAAACTAATTTAAATGGAAGATAAAATTTTCTCCTATAACATTGAAAAACATTAATCTATTATCCGTTATTGTGAAACTAATTTAAATGCTAATATATTTATTCTAGAGACGGACTATTAATTTTCTCATGATCACGTTAAAAATGTTTTACACTTATGATTGGTACATATGATATTATCCGTAATTATTATAAGTTTAAAAGTATAAAAATTTAAAGTTTTAGATGCAGGATCATTTGATAAAACTAAAAAATTTGACACTAAATCTTAATAATATTGATTTTTACAATCTAACAATTGTAATTTATTGGGTATTAATAATCAATTAATAAATATGACCGAATAAATTATAATCGTTTGATTAACAGAATTCAATAATTAAGATTTTATGTCTAACTTTTTAGATTGACATTTGTATAAAAAAAAACCCTATTCGAAAGTTTTATAATATTTTGTTTTGACGAACGGAAGAACTTTCTAATTTCTATATAAAGCACGATGAATCCGTATTTTGTGTAGTCATTTTGTCTTTTTTTCATCTTCAAAAATCATAAATTTTGGCGTAAAAAAACTACTTTTTTATTTTTTTCAAAAAACTGAATTCAAACGCACATAAAATGAAAAAGTCGAAGCTCGTGGGGATACCGGAGGGAGCCAACTCGTCTCAAAGAGATAATTAGGGTTGAGTAACTCTAAAAAAAAAAAAATGAAAACACTTTTATTTTCTTAAAAGAACACACAAGCCCATAGTGTGTTTATACTTCGTAGTATAAAATTATATTTCATATTTATAAATCAGTATATATATGATTGACAAATCTTAATTTTAGAGTGTTAAAACTAAGAAATATTTTGCTTTGAAAATCTTATTGATTTTAATGCTTTAAATTTATAAATCTTATCAAATATGCTGATAGAAATAATATTAAGTTTAGAATGGGAGATTCTGTTATATAGATAAAAATACAAAATAAT